TTAACATAGTATATTCACTTGTGAATATTAGATGGTATATTCACTTATGAATATTAAATGATATTTTCATATGTTAATATTACATAGTATTACATGATATATCACATGTGAATATTACATAGTATATTCACTTGTGAATATTAGATGATATATTCACTTATGAATATTATACAGTATATTCACATATGAATATTACAAGGTATATTCACTTGTGAATATATTCACTTGTGAATATATTCACTTATGAATATTACAAGGTATTTTCACAAATATATATAATTTTTATGTTATTCATATATGAATAACATACAAACTTGCATATTTGTTTTGTGTTTTTAATAAATTCAGGTGAGAAAACATATTCATATGTGAATATAACGTGGTAATTTAGTTTATGCATTTCATCAAACAGTTGGAGTGCATACAAGTTAATTTTTTTAAAAATGTTAAAAACATGATACTTTGGCTGGTGGGGGAGTGTTCCTCTAGAGAGGTTGGTCCTGTTGATTGTAGGAAGCTACAATGTGGTGGTTTTTCATCATCGGCGTCGTCATCTGGTTCTACTCCAACTTCACATTCTGTTACCATTACACTAGTGGTTTCCATGGAAATCGAGCCTTGTAACGCTGCTTATTTTCTCTTAGCGGTCGTCGGAGAAGGACAAAGATGAAGTTCGAGGTCGCCGTTATCTGAGATGGTGACGATAACACTAATCGGAGTTGGATCTGCAATGGTGGTGCTAAATCGAGTGCTAAATCGTATCCTCTGACGGCGGTGCCAGATCGTCCCCATCAAGTGGATTCCGTGACCCAGATTCACGGTTGCTTATGTGGTAGGATGAGAGATGTAGTGGTGATGTGTAGATTAGAGACGAAGATATTGATGGAGTCCAAGAGAAATTTCCCACCGCTCATTAATGTATTTGGATTATTTACAAGTTTACCACCGTGCGTTTTTTAAGCTCATTAAATGATTGGCTGAGAATGGTTCCCCCATTCTCAACCTTTTTTTTTTCTCAATTGAACCCTCCTCTCTCTCTCTCTCTCTATATATATATATATATATATATATATATATATATATATATATATATATATATATATATCTTCCGTCCTTCTGGTACCCTTGAGTGCTTAAGCAGAAGATTTGAAATATATGACCCAGATTTGTTCTCGTGTTCTCGATTTCATAATTGTTCTCATTTGAAAATTCACATATATATATATATATATATATATATATATATATATATAGACAGTGGCCTTTGGGTTCCGTGGTGGTGTTGGTTGGAAAAAATTTTGGTCGGATTTTTGGTTATAACTTATAACAATCACCATTGATGTGGAATGTTACATATCATGTGCATAAAATATTACTTATAAAAATATATTATGTGTAATAATTCTAATAGTATATTACATGAGTAATATTCAACAAGAATATTACATACAATATATTTTTATAAACAGTATGTGTAACATTACATAACATAGGAGTAATATGTATAATATTGACTTCATGAAGACTTGAAGCAGTGGTGTCACCGACAAACCACCTTCTTTCCTATAAGTGGTTCTCGAATATCTTTCTAACGAACCTGATCTACTCCGACAAACTTTGACAAACTGATCTCGTTCCTGTGGCCTACCATCATATCCTTCTCTCAAATCCCCTTTCCGCCCTCGTCATGTCATTCTCGACATTCTTTTTCTTGTTTGGGGATGGTGGTTTGGGTTTTAGGTTTACCGGTGGATCTAGAGAAGAATATGTTTCTCATAAATTTTAGAAGATTGATGGTGTTGCAGGTTTTGCGGCTATGTATATGCATGTGTTTGTTTATACAAGTGGTTGAATTCTTAAATGGAATTTTGGAAGTTAGTGGTGTTTGTGTCCGGATAGTGATGGTGGCAGGAAGTGGTTTCTCTACTACTAAATAAAAAGAGGGGTGGAATGGTTTGGTTGTTTCATTTAAAAGGGACCCATTTATTTAACTAATATTTTTTCAATTAATTTACGACATAAAAAAGGTAAAAAAAATCAGTAAGGACAAACCATCCATTATGGACCAAATTCAAAACTAAAACCAAATTATGAGGACTTTTCGAGTGAGAAAATCAAGTTGTAAACTAAATATGTAGATAACCCTAAACCAAAGGGACCATTCATGTAATTTGTCTTTTTTCTTATGAGATATATATAAGAAAAGGAACGATGAAAAAGCAATACAAAACGAAATTAACACACGAAACATTAAATAAACTGCTGATTACAAAATTCTTTTTAGATATCTTTGGGGATCAGATCAAGGACCACATGAAACAAACAACTTAGTGCATAATAAAATACGAAATATTCATAACGAGCGTTGAAACGAACTAGAAACAACAGATGATCCATTCATCCATTACAGAAAGTATACCAGAGTACAAAAAAGATATGCAGAATCTTTTATCATTAAAAACAGATTATCGCATACTCATTACCTACATAGACCATTCGATTAAACCCCCATACTCATACTTACCATCATCACCATTGTCATACGCTATGGTGTTCTTGCTGTAACTCACATTGCGAACTCTCTGCTCCTTGTAAATCTCTTTGTACCCACTCTCCGGCCGACGCCTTCTCCTCCGCCGTTGCTCGTCCGTGGAGCACCATCTGCTTGTCACTGTAACTTATTCAGGATTTTTTCACGTAAATGCCTTTGCTTCCTCCTTTTCCCCCGTTGAAGAAGGTTACCGGTAGTGATGGGTTCACCTGTATGGACGCTATGCAACCGGAGGAACCGACGTTTGCCACTGATTTTGACAGGAAGTTTCCAGATTCTTTGGATCCTTTCGTCTTCTTCGGTGATCGGTAAGAAACATAAACAGAGTAAAAACTTACTTACTAAAGAAATAGCGAAACCCATGAACAGAGTTTCAACAAAAAGAGTAGAACTAAACAATTTGACAAGAAAAAAATGGAAGAACACTTGTACAGTTCTCTTAATCAACGAAGAACCAGTGCACAAAAACAATTACAAAATAAAAACTCACGACAGAAAAAGATGAGAGGAATTTTGGGTTTCCTCTGATATGAATCAGTTTTAACACCAGAGAAAACTCAGAGTAAAAATGAGTGAATCAATAACAAATGAGGAAAAAACACATATTAAAAACTAATGGCGTGAAGGTGTGACGGTTTCCGTTAACGGTCAGGCACGTTCTTCCCCCCACTACTGGCTACATCGATAAACCTACGTTACTGCCACCGTTTAAGACCACCCCACTGAAAAGGGAAAATACAGGATAACTAAAATTCAAAAAATAGTTGAGATAACTATTTTTATCAAATTATGGTTTAAGTTTTTAGTTATAATAATAGTTACCATATACTTTTCTATCAATTTATGAAGGTAATATATACTTCAAGGTTAAAGACATGACAATGCTAATGTGATTATATTTCAATGGTAGTTTTTATTTTATTTAGAGGTCCTTTAATACAAAAAAGAAAGAAAAAACCCTAATAGCCTTAGGCGTCATTTTGATACCAAAGAGTTGAAGAAACCCAAATATGGCAGCCAAATGAACACTTGTGAGTCGTGAATTTCAATGATTAGACATGCGACTACACATTTTGCGGAAACAAATATATGTTGTAAAATATAAACTGATGTGATCAAGCGTTCAATGGAATGGACACAAACGATATTGCGGTGACGGACGACAATATCTTCAGAGACATGGGATCGCAAAAGAAAAGTCAGTCGTATTCCGCAAGGAGGTCCTGATAATACTCTCTGACTGGGAATACTGTCAAGTTAGTATTTCTGGCGAAGGTGTCGCGAAATAGTGACTAGTGAGGGTAGTTAGTGAGAAAATATGTTACCATCATTGATGACGGTTTAGTCATATTTATCGTGAAAGTGAGTATTTGTCTTTTACTAGGATCCGTGAAATTGGATTCGTGCCATACAAATAGTGGGATGGAACATTCAGTTGTCGGTTGCTTGTCTCTTATGGAAGGATCGTCCTATTGGTTAAGGAAATCGTGGGCATCTGTGATATTTTTTGTGCTGACTCCGTAGTCAACAGCATGCCAGCATATGAACATGTTATTGTATTTGGTCTGAGCAAGGGGCTTCTAGGATTTTTCCTTTGCCTAAGTGAGTTGGAGTTAAATTTATTTTTAAATAGAGAAAAAAAAACAAATTTGACTAATTTTTTTAACTATTTCTAAGATTTAAACAAAAATCAAGCATTTTCCAAAATAACCATCAATTTTGCTCTAGTCATTGTAAAATTCGCAGGAGAAACTGTGAAACCACCAAAGAACGATTCTTGTTTTTGAGAGTTTTACTCAACTTTTCCAAATTTGCAGTTTTACACGATTGAGTAAAAAGTTCGACGGTGTAATTTTATGACATACACATATTTTTCAATTCTCTCAGTTTTGATCTGTTAAGCCTCTAGTTGTTTCCAATGCTCCTCTATAGACCTGAAGTAGTACTTAATAGATGAAATGATTAGGTAAACTTAATTTAGCTAATTAAAGGTCAATTAGTGAAATAATTTTAAAGGCATAGTTTATACTCACGGTCTCAAACTTTAATAATCTAAAGCTTGTAAAGATCCGTTTGTAGAATTGAAAACCCAGTTGTAAAATCAAAAGCACTAATACCCTTAGGGGGTGTTTGGATTGTATGGTTATCTTCGTAGGATTTTGAAATCGTCAAAGAATTTAGATTTAGAGAGTTTTAGATTTTGAAGAAATTGAAATTTGTTGTGTTTGGTTTATAAGATCTACATTGAATTTAGTATAATTCACATTTTCATCTTAACTTCATTAAAAAAATTAATTTGATAATAAGATTGTCTATGATTAATGGCAAAATTTAAGGAGAGAATGAATATTTACACTTATTAAAGGATAATTTGAGAAAACAAATTAATTTGAACGGAAAGGTCTAAGACGATTTTACATAATCCATTAAAAACACTTTGTAATTTAATATCCTTATATATATTTTTTTTGTTCCGGACATGGATTATACCGAATTTTAATTCCAAATCCATTCAAATCTAAGAATTTAACCAACCCAAAACGTATTAGGATAGCCAACTTTCACACTACATGTATCGTTGTATTATAAAATACAAGAAAACATTCAAACTCGACAAAAAAATCACGAAAAAGAAACATAAAAATACTATAACCACAAAAGAACAAATTATAAAGTAATCATAGTCATATGTTAATCATCCATGATGGTCGATGTTTGTTTTCAAATTGAAGACTATTTCTTCGTTATTTACCTTCGCTATGATACTTCATCATGGACCATAGACTCATACACTCTTTGATTGGCCTTCTTTGCCTACAAAGTTAATAAGAAGCAATGCACGATTAAATAACATAAATGTTACATGTAGTCTCATTTCAACTATATATCATAAAATATGTATAGTTCAAATAAAAAACGACTTAATAAGAAATTAAATTAGTGAAAGAAGGCTTTTTCCACTAAGCATTAACTATTTTACAGATTTGCACTCATTTTTCCTTCCGTTTCTTCATATATACATTGTGTGTATCAAATATATTTTAAACATCGTTTATTAAACATAAAAATTCGAATAAGAATAGCAACTTACTTCCTTTTCCCAGTTTGTGCATAATGTCAAAACATAAAGAAAGAACGCTTGAGCAAATAATGCCGCAATAATTCCGTACCATAATCCCTACATAATAAAAATAAAATTAAATAAAAGAAATCTTTGAAAAAACAATAAAATGTGATCAAAGATGAAAAATTAACTACCTTTCCTCCCATATGAAGTACAAAAGCAAACAAGATCGCTAAAGGAATCCCGATTAGATAATACGCTCCTAAGTTCACAATTGCACCAACTTTTTGTCGACCACTCCCTCTAACCGCCCCTACGAATTAATTTCAAATCACAGTATATATTATAAAAACAAATAGAAGCTTCTGTTATCTCACATCAACCAGACATATGCTAGATTCTCTCAAGGACTACATATATTTTAACATGGTATTAGAGCCAGCCGAAAGATTATATATATATTTAAAATGGTATCAGAGTTGATATGATACTGAAAATCTATCTTAGGGACATGTTGATGTCGGTTAGATGCTTTCTCATATGCCTAACTTTGTCAGTTAAAATTAAAACAGTACAACTGTCGAAACGAGTAATTAATTGACCCATTGTCACCTGAAAGTACGGATTGGATGCCATCAATGAAATGAGATCCGGCAATAAGCAACATCATTTGTGCAATATAAGTCACCACCTCTTCTTCATTACTATAACAATACCCCCATAGTTTTCTCCCAAAAATCAAGACCATTGAACCCAAAACCCCTTCGGTCACTACCGCAACCATTGCAACACGTATCGCTAAACGTGCTGCTTGTGCCCTCCCTGCACCTAATTCATTTGAAACCCTTACACTGCAAACAATTCAAAATATTAAACAAAAGAATGTGAATTCCAACAAGTTTATTCGCGAAAAAATCACCTTGTGGCGCTACTTAGACCAAGAGGAATCATGTAAATCATTGAACACGTATTCAAGCTGCCATGAAAACTCAACTAGTTAGCCATAATAAGATGATAAAATTCAGAATATAAAGAAGGGCACAAAAATAACCAAAATCGATGGACTCATTTAACAAATTAACCATTTTATTTACTAATTGAAGAAACTGTCCACCTATTTCCTTTTGTGAATTACCTTTTACCTTTTTCAGACAAAAGACTTAAAAAAACATAATTTTCCTTTTGTGAAATAACATTAAGTAAAATATTAAATTATTAACAACTTTGCAATATAATCATCAAATATGACTTTTTTTTAATCATTTTTTTTGGTAATGTGGAACATTCATATATCAAAATTGCAATATGCAATTGACCTCCTTGCAAAAAAAAATGGTAAGTTCGTAAAGTATCACCACACATTTTGGTACTTTTGTAAATCTTTGCTTTGAATTCCATTAATGAACCTGATAGAAAGAACCGAGGTTTCTAGTTGAGGATTTGGAAGAAGACCAGATAACAACACCATCATCTCAAACGACCATATCTCCAAACTGTTCAAAGATTCACATACTTTTAAAATAAGGGTAGATTCAAAAAGTTGTAAACTTTATGAAAAAAAAGATAATTTTGATTTTGAAAAGGGTAAATTACCAGACCATAATTGCAGAAGGAACAGCAAGTTTCAAAAATGTCGGAATGTTACAGAAAGCTTCTTTCGAGAAACCAGTCCAAGTCTTTTTACACGAAGGAGAAACCCGAACATAAATCGCCAACAACAAAACATTAATCCAAAGAGAAACAGCATTCGCCAATGCTGCACCTCGACTTCCGAGCCCAGATTTAAACACCATAATCCAGCAAACAAGAACATGAACAAGCGTTGTAATCCCAGTGCTTAACATCATCGGAACGACATTGTTTTGAGATTGAAGAAATCGAACATGGCATTGAAGTAATGCGTTTGCAAAAAGACTAGGAATCATGAATCGAGCATAGAGTCCAGCTTCTGCTGAGATTTCAGGATCTTGTCCTAGGAAAGCAAGCAAGGATCCTGCATTTGCCCAAATGAAAGCAAGAGGAATGCTCACTGATAAAAGAACAATCATCGCTCTCTGCATATGGATTCCGAGCATATGATATTGTTTTGCGCCATATGATTGTCCACAGAATGTGTCTAAAGCACTTCCCATTCCAATCTGTTCACCATTGAAACAAGAATCGAACTGGGTTTAAGAAATTGGTTGATATTTGAAACACCATGTAAACAAGACGATGAAATGAAAGAAGAAGATGAACTAACCATCAAGCTTGTACCAGTGACGGAAGCAAAAGAAGTAGCCATTGAAGCACCGGAGAGAGCAAGCTCACCAAGGTGACCCACAAACATGACGGAAATCATCGATAACCCACAAATCAATAGATTTATTGTCATCAAAGGCCCTGCTAAGTATAACTGCTTCTTAAATTCTGTCAATATCTCATCTTTAGTGTATGAATATGATCGAGCTCTCTTTTGTGATTCTTGATTCACATGATGACTCAGAAGTGGCGATGCAAGCCCTTCTTCCTCCATTGTTGGTAACTCTTTGGGAGTCTACAAGAACAGGGTCGTATAAAGATACTGAAAAATATCAAAACGATGACGGATGGAGACAAAGATACAATTTTGTTTTTATAAACGATTTTAGTAGACTGAAGAACAAGTGGTGAGAGATGCTTTGTATGTTAGTAACAAAATCGTTTTTGGTTTCTTTTTTATAATGGGTGGAAGTGTGATTTTCCACATTAAATACTCTAATAGTGGGATTCATTATAGTATCAGCAAGTATTTCCAGGAAAGTGGAGGGTTTTTCTTGACACTGAGTGGTGGCCAACTGGATATTTCTTGTTCGTAGTTCTTACCATGGAAGGAAGCAGAGCATCTTTCCGCATAACGACATTCATCCTGTTTAATGAGATAACATTTTATATACATTCTTGAAAATTACTCTTTTAGTTAAATTACAGAAAATAGCGCTTTGTATTTTTGTGTTCTTTTGTTATATAGAATTAAAATATGATTTTTGTTCCCAATGAATGTTATTCTCTTTAATTAATATCTCGCTAAGGCTCGCAAGTATACACATATCTCCACCATATAAAAAAACGTTGTCGCTTAAGTGTCATATCATCACCACTTTCACACCACATGCTCGTACTATCTGGTACTTGGCACATCTGCCAATGCATGGTGGTGAGGTGGCATAGGTCCACGACGTGCACACCGGCCCACCTTTGGTGTGTGCTAACTTGGAACCACGTGGCGAGGCATGACATAAGTCACAACTGCTAAACGCCATTCTCCATCCCTTGCTTCTCTTTATTCTTTTTTCTTCTGGTGTTGCAACGTGGAGACCATACCAACAATGGTGGTGTTGCAACGTGGAGACCATAAAAACATTGTCACTTAAGTGTCATATCATCATCATTTCCACACCACATACTTATACTATACTATCTGGTACTTGGCACATCTGCCAATGCATGGTGGTGAGGTGGCATAGGTCCACAACGTGCACACCAGCACACCTTTGGTGTGTGCTAACTTGGAGCCACGTGGCGAGGCATGGCGTAAGCCACAACCGCTAAACGCCATTCTCCATCCCTTGCTTCTCTCTATTTTTTTTTCTTCTGGTGTTGCAACGTGGAGACCATACCAACAATGGTGTGGTGTGAAGGTGTGTAATGGTGAGGTGGAAGGAGATCCACACATGCTATGTGACCATTATGGAATTTATATGGTGGGTCATCCATAACCATAAGTCAAAAAGTTCTTAACGAAAATTTATTTTCATAATTTATAAAAAATAAGTAAATAACCCGATATCAACAACTTTTAATTATAAACTCCTTCAACCAAAAGTGATATGTGTGTTGCTAGATATGTAATTTGCTATATGAAGTTAATTTTTTTTTTTAAATCACAAAAGGAAAACCTTCACTTCCATTATATCTTGTATTTCAAAATCTTTTTTCAAACAATGTTGCAAATTTCTTCGATAAAGGTAAATGAACAAGGGTGGAAGTTTGATTATTGTAAAGAAGGTTTTTGGTAAATAATTACCACCGATTAGATGAAAAATAATGTAGTCCAATTTGAAGAACACAACCATAGGGATATTAAAGAGTGCAAGATTATTATTGTGTGCTAGGACCACATCGTTAAGGAAGTTTGAGAGAGAGAAATGGATTTAAGAAGCAAAAGAAGGAAATTTTGGGAAGAAAAAAATAGATTAATGACATCAAACTAAATTGTTGGAACGATTTTCTAGAGTTCAAAATATAGAGGTCTACCCATCTTTACCCATCATAATTATAGGTATAAAATACGTATACAGTTTAAATCGAATAAATCATGTATATTTTGTTCATCCAACATAGATATCAAGAACACATATAATATGCACACATAGAACATAATTTATATTAAATACTTCATATCTATGTGTAAGATGAAAGTAACTATGAACTCACATAGTATGTAATTTATATTAAATACTTCATATCTATGTGTAACATGAAAGTAACTATGCACTCACATAACATGTAATTTATATTAAATACTTCATATCTATGTGTAAGATGAAAGTAACTATGAAATCACTTGTTAAAGTGATGATTCCAAACTCGGGCAGCGTTTTGCTTCTAACAATTCTATTTTCCTTTAGCAAAACCTAGTATCATTACCGCTAGATTTTAGTCTAATATTTATAGCGACTATTTATGAGCGATATTGTTTTATAAGTGTTAAACAATACTTTTCAACCATCAGACAGGGGCCAGACATGAAACACCGGAGGGCAGGACCATTTTGACATTATAGCACTTCTGAAATCCAACAACCCTATGCGACCCTTCAAACCAGATTCCCCGTACAACGAGTAGTTAAAAGATACTATAATAACACTTTGTATATTATATTTTATAATATATTTATTGTTTATAATTTCATAATAACGATATTGAACTTAAACATAAGCTATACTTGAAGTAGGGTAAGAATAACTCACTTACCGGAAGGTTTGGCTAAGAACCGGGCTCTGCGGGGGCAGAACTTCTGAGCCGAAAAACTCTTCTTCTTGGAGCCTTCTAGCGCTCTGGGACTTTCCTCTAGCACTTGGGAGTTACTAGGGATTGGGAGGGGTTTAGAGAAGTAATTGAGAGAGAAAGAACGAGAGAGGTGTGAATGAAATGGAAATTTTGTTCCTCTATTTATAGGATGGGAAATGGCCCAACTCGTCGAGTTGAGTTCCAAGTGTCACCATCTGGTGGCAAGGTGTGGAGATGAAGCAATGGTCAGGATTATGCCACGTCACCCCCTTCGCAACAACACCCTTCCGACTTCTAAATTCTGTAACTTTGGTATATGAGCTCCGTTTTTATGTTATTTATATCCACGCGTAGGTATTGACAAGATCTACAACTCTCCTTTTGACTCCATCGGCTAATTCTCAACTGATTTTAAATTTAACAGTATGAGAAGATTACCCTGTTTAACGACCGTGTAAAATTCATAACTTCTACACAAGGACTCCGTTTTCAACTGTCTTTTTATCGTTGAGATCTTAAATTATCATTTGGGTTGTGTCGGCTAAAAATTGATCGATCTAAAATTCAAATTCCGGGCTGTGCATTGCTAAGCTAAATCTTAAAAAAATCATAACTTCCTCAATCGACGTCAGATTTGGACGTTCTTTTTATGTACGTTCTCGGTTTAACGTATATTATGACTTTCGTTTAGATCCCTAAGGCTAAAAAGTATTTTATCGCAAACTCACTTTTTGCGATTCCCGGTGTCGTGCCGGTTTTGCCGTAAAACTTCGACATGTCATAACTTATTCGTTATAACTCGGATTTCAGCATTTTTTTATATGTACGAAGTCCTTGTGACATATACTATAAATTAGTTAAGATTATTTATTATAAATAATCTTCTATCAAAAAGTCATTTTTGACGCTTATTGTCTCTAAATTGACTAACCTAAATTTGCGGGCGTTACAATTATCTCCCCCTTAGGATGATTACGTCCCAGAATCATCAACGAAACTGTGACAACCCAAAATTTTCTATTGCTTTGAAAGCTCAGCCAGTCAACCCAAACTAGTGTCAGACTCATTCCTGCTATCATTTAGCACAATTTAGAGTCTGTTAGAGCGTTCCGAGCCTTGTACACTTAAGGGATAAGTGTCGGGGTTTATATGTCGAAGCTATAGTACAACGAACGGGCCTGAAACAACTTGACCTGGAGTTCACGGCCACCACATGGGAGTTTACGGCCGTAAAATCAATGTGGGCCGTAAACTCCACCTTAAATGGTGAAAGGTTGGCCATTTGTTCATTCCACCCTTTCCTTTGGCTCAAATTCTCTCAACTATCATCCTGTTCTTCGTCCCCGATCTCCAAAACTCGTAAGTTTCTCGTCCTTACTAGTTGATATCCTACTTGAACTAGTGATCTTACATGTTTTCATCCATGAAATTCATGTTTTCATAGATCTTCAAGTTTCACCAAGAACACCAAGAACACACACCAGTGTTCTTGGCCAAAACCGACCATTCAAGCTCCTAGATCGTAAGCACTCTTGTTCTAACTCGTTGTACATTAGGTTTAACATGTTTAGGGCTTAGAAACATCAAGAATCAATGGATGAATGAGAGTTTACGGCCAAGGCATGTTCTTGGGCCGTAAACTCCCTTTAAGGGTGCAAAGTTGCCCTTTCTTCCTTCCTTAAGCCCAGAACTTAGCCTAGAACCAACCACCATTGAACTAGGGACCTTAAACATCAAAGAAACCATGTCCTCCTAGAGTTTATGGCCGTAAACTCATAAGGAATTGGTCATTGGGCCGTAAACTCTATAAAGGGGTGATATTGTGCCCCTAACACCTCCTATGGCTTGTATAAATGACTAGAACCTTGCATGCTTAACCTAGGAACACCAAAACACGAAATAAGTGGGCAAACATGAGTTTACGGCCGTAAGCTCATGTGTTTACGACCGCAAACTCCACCAAGGGTCCATTTGGAGCCCTAGTCACTTCCTAAGCCCTTGATTCGAGTCTAGCTTAATTCCTTGAGTGGTTTAGGACTTTTGAACACCCAATGGCACCACTTCCATGAGTTTACGGCCGTAAACTCATGGGGGAAGTGGTCCAGAAACCGTAAACACCCCTAAGGGCCACCATTTGAGGAGTAAACTTCGATGTGAGGCCATACTCTCTTTATATGCAACCCTTGGTACTCCTAACACTTGTAGCAAAGTGTTTTCATGCATTAGGATGTCCTTACTTGCATAATTAGTTATTAAATGACTAATTAGATACTTAAATGTATCATTACATGTCAAATAGGATCCGAGTGTGTGTTCAAGTCCTCACTTGACACATAGCATTCTATACCACCCGTTCATCCGAATCACCCACGTCAGGTGAGTTCATACCCCTTAATCAACCTTTTAAATGATTTTAAATGCTTTTATGGGCGGGGGGGGGGGGGGGGGAATACAAGTTGTACTAAAAGGTTATTAGATCAATCACATGTGATTAATAACTGTCTAGCAAATAGATTTCTGCATGTTAAAATGTTTTATCCAGCTAAAGGTTTTCAAATCTTGTTTTATAAACTGAAATCAAGTCATAAATTCTTATTTATAAATTTTCCAAAGGTTTTACCAAAGCTTCTTTTTATACTTTTATATTGTCAAATGCATGCCTATATATGTATAGTTATATAAGAAATGTTTAAAGGACTTAGGAAGGCTAACTCGCTTTAATTCCTTTTCCTTGTTTGGATGTGGCTTTAGGGTATCGGTTATCCGTCCGAAGGTCATCTAAATATTAGTTATATATCATGTATACATATATAGTCATAAAAGTTCCATCAGCTAATTCATCACCTTTGGGTAGCAAAGGCATCTAGATAACCTCCCAAGTAAACTATAATAGGTATAGTTTAGAAACCAACCATAACTTTCATAAAGGAGAACTTAGTTATATCTATACTCTAAACACTTGTACTTTTAGTAAAAGAAAGGTATATAGATTTCAAAACACGAGATACATCCTCAAACGCGGATTGCACCGTTGTCGAGTGGTAACCAGAGTCTCCTGGAGGGAGAGCGGGCATTGTGTGTATAGATCTATACGGGACAGACACTCCCACATCCTGACTGCTAGCTACAGTCTCGGCTGACCAAGCCAAGGGGTGACAAATGTCACATTCATTCCGACGCCAGCAGGTCGTCAAGTATTCGATTGTCAATCAGTATGGTTACGAGTATCTTTACGCTTACCTTATAATTCATGGCATTAAGGTAATAAGTATTATCACGGTATTTTCTATATAGGAAACTATCATAACCTATTTTCCTAGTTATACACTAGGCCACATTTTTAAACCTTTAAACCAACCCACTTAGGATTAAAGGCTATTTTAGACTCTCCGAGGCGTATTGTTCATTTAATACTTCCTGGAGTCTGTATTTCTTTGTTTTAGACTCTCCGAGGCGTATTGTTCATTTAATACTTCCTGGAGTCTGTATTTCTTGTTTTAGACTCTCCGAGGCGTATTGTTCATTTAATACTTCCTGGAGTCTGTATTTCTTTGTTTTAGACTCTCCGAGGCGTATTGTTCATTTAATACTTCCTGGAGTCTGTATTTCTTTGTTTTAGACTCTCCGAGGCGTATTGTTCATTCAATACCACCTGGAGTCTGT